ACATGTACTTTTGACTCACAGTACGTTTCCATTACACACTTCTCCGTCTTAGAACATTAATTTTGTTTTTTCCAGGCTATAGGCCCGGTGCGCCTCCGCCAGCTATATCCAATCAAGCATATAATATGTCACATTCTTCGCAGCATGATTCTCGTCGACAGGAAGGATTTGGAGCACCGCCGTCGTCTTTCGGTATAGATTGTTTGTCTTTGATACTTTCTGCACATTTTTCTACTTTTTAGGCCACTCCGATCTGATGACACGCCCTACATACGATCCATATCTGGACAATCTCAAAAGTCCTTTGATTAAGGATGAGAGTGACGGGAAAACCCTTAGGCTAAGGTCTGATTTTTTTTCGTGGCAGCAAGTTGACATATAGCTAATTTAAGTCAATAACATTTAGTTTTATTCCTCTAGATTTGATGTTGCTCAGTACAAGCCTGAGGAGGTGACGGTGAAAACTATTGACAATCGACTTCTTGTTCATGCCAAACATGAGGAGAAGACCCCACAGCGTACAGTTTTTAGAGAATACAATCAGGTTAGCCTGCTTCGTAGTCTTTGATGCAATATGCAAAGTTTGCATTTTCATTCTTTTTTTTTGCTGAAATATTTTAAATTCCATTTTGTGTCTGTATTATTCCATCTATTTTCTTCTCAGTAACGGGTTGTGTCTATTGATATTTGAGTGCATTTATTTTAAAAATTCTTTGATGTGGTGTTGGATTCGTTTCTAAGTACCGCTTTGCATCGTCTACATAGCAACCAACATACTCGAAAAGTTTGCACCTAAGAAGTTTGTCATCGGAAAGCGTTATGATTATATACCTTGATGTGCAGAAAATTAGAGTGGGACTATTTTGCTTACCTGGAACTAATTCTGTCAAGCTGCATATAGATGCGATTTAATTTGAGTAAATTTTTTTCTTGTTTCATTGATTTCAAGAGTTCGATGTGAGCTATCATTCACTATTTTGAAGGATTGCGACTTCTTATGCGGAGAAAAACAACACTGGGTTTTTTTTTGTTAAAACGATCAGATGCATTATCCGTTCTTTAACGATTTTGCTGTGTCTCAAGAGTCTATAATCGTAATCTGTTTCTCTGGCCTTGCTCGCGTTACGTGCTTTCCGAAATCGCTCTCTTTTGAGAAATTAAGCATGCATTATATCGAATCTTATCTTGGAATCTTATATTTGCCTTCTTGGAGGAAGTATAGTCAGGTGTAGTTATGCTGTAATACCTTTTCAT